TTGTTGCCTCTATACACTAGCTGTATTTGTTGCCTCTCAAAACTTGCTGTATTTGATGCCTCTATACACTAGCGGTATTTGATGCCTATATACACTAGCTGTAATTGATGTCTCCATACACTCTCTGTATTTGATGCCTTTCTACACTAGCTGTATTTGATCTCTCTCTTTACTAGCTGTATTTGATGCCTCTCTACTCTAGCTGTATTTGATGTCTCTCTACACTGGTTGTATTTGATGCCTCTATACACTAGTGGTATTTGATGCCTTTCTACGCTTGCTGTATTTGATCTCTCTCTTTACTAGCTGTATTTGATGCCTCTCTACACTAGCTGTATTTGATGCCTCTCTACACTGGTTGTATTTGATGCCTATATACACTAGCGGTATTTGATGCCTCTATACACTAGCTGTATTTGATGCCTCTCTACACTAGCTGTATTTGATGCCTCTCTACACTAGCTGTATTTGATGCCTCTCTACACTGGTTGTATTTGATGCCTCTCTACACTAGCTGTATTTGATGTCTCTATACACTAGCTGTATTTGATGTCTCTCTACACTAGCTATATTTGATGCCTCTCTACACTGGTTGTATTTGATGCCTCTATACACTAGCGGTATTTGATGCCTATATACACTAGCTGTATTTGATGCCTCTATACACTAGCTGTATTTGATGCCTCTCTACACTAGCTGTATTTGATGCCTCTCTACACTGGTTGTATTTGATGCCTCTCTACACTAGCTGTATTTGATGTCTCTATACACTAGCTGTATTTGATGTCTCTCTACACTAGCTATATTTGATGCCTCTCTACACTGGTTGTATTTGATGCCTCTATACACTAGCGGTATTTGATGCCTATATACACTAGCGGTATTTGATGCCTCTATACACTAGCTGTATTTGATGCCTCTCTACACTTGCTGTATTTGATGCCTCTCTACACTAGCTGTATTTGATGCCTCTCTACACTGGTTGTATTTGATGCCTCTCTACACTAGCTGTATTTGATGTCTCTATACACTAGCTGTATTTGATGTCTCTCTACACTAGCTATATTTGATGCCTCTCTACACTGGTTGTATTTGATGCCTCTATACACTAGCGGTATTTGATGCCTATATACACTAGCTGTATTTGATGCCTATATACACTAGCTGTATTTGATGTCTCTCTACACTAGCTGTATTTGATGCCTCTCTACACTGGTTGTATTTGATGCCTCTATACACTAGCGGTATTTGATGCCTATATACACTAGCTGTATTTGATGTCTCTCTACACTAGCTGTATTTGATGCCTCTCTACACTAGCTGTATTTGATGTCTCTATACACTAGCTGTATTTGATGTCTCTCTACACTAGCTATATTTGATGCCTCTCTACACTGGTTGTATTTGATGCCTCTATACACTAGCGGTATTTGATGCCTATATACACTAGCTGTATTTGATGCCTATATACACTAGCTGTATTTGATGTCTCTCTACACTAGCTATATTTGATGCCTCTCTACACTGGTTGTATTTGATGCCTCTATACACTAGCGGTATTTGATGCCTATATACACTAGCTGTATTTGATGCCTATATACACTAGTTGTATTTGATGTCTCTCTACACTAGCTGTATTTGATGCCTCTCTACTCTAGCTGTATTTGATGTCTCTCTACACTGGTTGTATTTGATGCCTCTATACACTAGTGGTATTTGATGCCTTTCTACGCTTGCTGTATTTGATCTCTCTCTTTACTAGCTGTATTTGATGCCTCTCTACACTAGCTGTATTTGATGCCTCTCTACACTGGTTGTATTTGATGCCTATATACACTAGCGGTATTTGATGCCTCTATACACTAGCTGTATTTGATGCCTCTCTACACTAGCTGTATTTGATGCCTCTCTACACTAGCTGTATTTGATGCCTCTCTACACTGGTTGTATTTGATGCCTCTCTACACTAGCTGTATTTGATGACTCTATACACTAGCTGTATTTGATGTCTCTCTACACTAGCTATATTTGATGCCTCTCTACACTGGTTGTATTTGATGCCTCTATACACTAGCGGTATTTGATGCCTATATACACTAGCGGTATTTGATGCCTCTATACACTAGCTGTATTTGATGCCTCTCTACACTTGCTGTATTTGATGCCTCTCTACACTGGTTGTATTTGATGCCTCTCTACACTAGCTGTATTTGATGTCTCTATACACTAGCTGTATTTGATGTCTCTCTACACTAGCTATATTTGATGCCTCTCTACACTGGTTGTATTTGATGCCTCTATACACTAGCGGTATTTGATGCCTATATACACTAGCGGTATTTGATGCCTCTATACACTAGCTGTATTTGATGCCTCTCTACACTTGCTGTATTTGATGCCTCTCTACACTAGCTGTATTTGATGCCTCTCTACACTGGTTGTATTTGATGCCTCTCTACACTAGCTGTATTTGATGTCTCTATACACTAGCTGTATTTGATGTCTCTCTACACTAGCTATATTTGATGCCTCTCTACACTGGTTGTATTTGATGCCTCTATACACTAGCGGTATTTGATGCCTATATACACTAGCTGTATTTGATGCCTATATACACTAGCTGTATTTGATGTCTCTCTACACTAGCTGTATTTGATGCCTCTCTACACTGGTTGTATTTGATGCCTCTATACACTAGCGGTATTTGATGCCTATATACACTAGCTGTATTTGATGTCTCTCTACACTAGCTGTATTTGATGCCTCTCTACACTAGCTGTATTTGATGTCTCTATACACTAGCTGTATTTGATGTCTCTCTACACTAGCTATATTTGATGCCTCTCTACACTGGTTGTATTTGATGCCTCTATACACTAGCGGTATTTGATGCCTATATACACTAGCTGTATTTGATGCCTATATACACTAGCTGTATTTGATGTCTCTCTACACTAGCTGTATTTGATGCCTCTCTACACTGGTTGTATTTGATGCCTCTATACACTAGCGGTATTTGATGCCTATATACACTAGCTGTATTTGATGTCTCTCTACACTAGCTGTATTTGATGCCTCTCTACACTGGTTGTATTTGATGCCTCTATACACTAGTGGTATTTGATGCCTATATACACTAGCTGTATTTGATGTCTCTATACACTAGCTGTATTTGATGCCTCTCTACACTAGCTGTATTTGATGTTTCTTTACACTAGTTGTATTTAATGTCTCTCTTCACAAGCTGTATTTGTTGCCTCTATACACTAGCTGTATTTGATGCCTCTATACACTAGCTGTATTTGATGTCTCCATACACTCTCTGTATTTGATGCCTTTCTACACTTGCTGTATTTGATCTCTCTCTTTACTAGCTGTATTTGATGCCTCTCTACACTAGCTGTATTTGATGCCTCTCTACACTGGTTGTATTTGATGCCTCTATACACTAGCGGTATTTGATGCCTATATACACTAGCTGTATTTGATGTCTCTATACACTCACTGTATTTGATGCCTTTCTACACTTGCTGTATTTGATGTCTCTCTTTACTAGCTGTATTTGATGCCTCTCTACACTGGTTGTATTTGATGCCTCTCTACACTGGTTGTATTTGATGCCTCTCTACACTGGTTGTATTTGATGCCTATATACACTAGCTGTATTTGATGTCTCTATACACTAGCTGTATTTGATGCCTCTCTACACTAGCTGTATTTGATGTCTCTTTACACTAGTTGTATTTAATGTCTCTCTTCACAAGCTGTATTTGTTGCCTCTATACACTAACTGTATTTGATGCCTCTCTACACTGGTTGTATTTGATGCCTCTCTACACTAGCTGTATTTGATGCCTCTCTACACTAGCTGTATTTGATGCCTCTCTACACTGGTTGTATTTGATGCCCCTCCACACAAGCTGTATTTGAACTGATTTTGCATCTTTATCAAACACAGATAATTCCTTTTATTAGAATTGCTTCATGTTGGAAAATTTGATGAAAGTACAAAAACTTCTCAAAATGTGTACTTGATTTAATATTATAATCTCATTGTTTACATAGGTAAAAGCTTTATGCATTATCATAAACACATCCGACAGAAATTGGCACCAACCATTTCTTTTGCATGCCTTCTGCAAAATTCACTTTAATTACATTATTAGCTTTACATACATATTGTCATATCAATGTTAGGTGTATCTACAGCATATAGACAAACCTTAGCGCACTGTACAATTGAAACGTTAGATTTCTTGTCAAAAGCAGATGGATGGATAGATCATGCGGACGGGAAGACTTGATTTGTTGTGCGAGTTGGAATGAATACTTAATTTGAGGGAGTTCAGTCATTGTTATTTCAAGTCGTTCAAAACCAAGTTATCTCATCAGATGTTAAAGTTGACAACCATCTCTAGAAAAAAAAAATTGCAGCTGGTAACTTAGATTGGCCGGAAACAATAATATGAGACAACAATCAAATTTATGTTTCGATACTAACCAAAAATGTATATGTTTAGTCATATTTTACTTAAGGCTGGTAAAGGACACCTTAATCTTCTTTGAAATATCTGAACATGCCACTGATGAAGGTAAAAATGCCTCAATATCCTATTATCATCTTGAAAGTTGAATATTTCAGTTAAGTTTGAAAGTCGAATTTAGGCTGAATATTTCAATTATGATTGAGTGTGATTTAAATATGGATATATAGATCGGATATAGATCGGGACAGAAAGGCAAACAAAAAGAATCCAAATAGCATAATAGGCGATGTATTACTTGCGAAAACTCTCAAAGAAAACTTTAGGTGGAAGACCTATTCAATGTAACTCCTTCACCACCTCTACTTATTCATTACAGTGTACAAATTTTTACTCTAAATAAAAATTATTACAAATGCAGTTTCGTTTCTTGTGAAAAAAATAAGTCTTAAACTGAAATATGCATTTTAAATTTTTTTTCCAAAATCTACAAGTTTTTTTATATAAAACATTAATGACAAACAATCAACTTAGGAGAAAGGAAGAGAAAGCAAATGTAGGAGAGAAAAATAACAAATTGTCATATCTCAAAGTACTGAAATGAAGGAGAAAAAGTAACAAATTATAATTTTCAACATATGACTGAAGCTCAACGAGGTACTAAGCAGGATGTTACACCAAACAATATATACATATTAAAATGCACCAAGTATTCCAACAACTTAAAACATTTACCCTTGTCTGATTGGGATGTCTAGATAATAGGTCGTGTAGATTGATGACTAGAATCTGAACCAATTTTACAATTCAACAATTTGTTAAACATTAGTATAATGTACACAAAAAAGGCCTATAATTATTGAATGGTATGTAATATATATCTATTAAGAACACTTGAATGTATTTGATGAATCTTTTGTATTCCTGAACAGTATAGACCAAACAATCCTGGTTATGCATTATATTTTGTTGACAAACACAGACAATTTCTATAGATTGAGGGGAACTGCAGGATGTACAGGTTTACTGATGATGTTGTGCGATGACAAAGGATACTTTATGTCTGTTTCATCACAACATTCCACCTAGTAATATATTGAATGCTCTCTCATTGAAAAATAACACACATCTTACACACACACACACACACACATTTAGAACTTATACCAGTAATGACGAAATTTGTATACAAAATAACAAAAGGTACACCCGTCATTGGTGATATCAACAGATTGACCAGAAAATATATTAATACATAGCAATGATGTAATGTACTGTAACATCCTATTTTCTTAACCTTTCTTTGTCTACATCTAACCTAAAAATAGAAAAAAAAATGTAAATTGATTATTTATAATTAGGCATTGATTTCTTTAAATCTAAAAGATTATTGGCTGAAAAGGATATGACAAAATCGATGCCAAAACTCATTTTTAGTTTCCATTCTTTACAAGAACAATTATTATAGAAAAAAAAATGTATTAATTCTTCAAACTTGTAGACTGTATCAGCATTGATATTGCTGGTGTCCTCGAACTCAGAAATATCAATGACTGCCCAAACAATTAGTGATCTCATTTCAGAAATCAGGCTTTCTCCATCACCACCCCCCACCCCAACTCCCTCAAGAACTGAAGGTATAGTTTAACAGCAAAAGAGAGGCCACTATGGCTTCGTAAACGAAGGCAGTATGGAAAGAAAATATTATCAAATTTATTTTTGACCGGGAATTTTTGGTGAGAAATAGTGTATCTCTAGACTGAAGTTTGAGGACTTTTACATAGAAAACCATGAGATTCTAAATCTCTTTCAGGAGAATTAAAAAGTTTTGTGAAATTTTTTTTTCTAGAAGATTGGAAAGAATGACAATAAAGGTATAAGAAGCAAATTTTTCTTTGCAAAATAAAAGGCATATCTTTTTCTTCAATGATTAAAATTAATATTTTATAATTCACAACAAGCATTTTACATAGAGAACTGTTTTAAACATGTACTGATATTGTATCGCACTGTACGACCGGCCGTAATCCTCATCCACCTTACATAAATTAACCTTGGTTTCTCTTTATTACATACAACCATTTAATCTCTTCATATCCTTTTCACAATCACATTTTTTTGTAAGTTTTCTCAGTCCAAAAGTGGTCCTATAATAATTATTTTATATTTCAAAATTATAAACATAATTTTTTTTTCAAAAATCAAACATAAATGGTTCAACAAAAAAAAAAAAAAATTTATTTTACATTTAAACAAAAACAAAAAACACTTCAAAGTAAAAAATAATTCATTTTCTGTCCTGACACACTATGATATGAACAAACACTCAATTCCATATGTTACATTTCTTATAAATATCACAAGGTATATGCTTACTGGATTGAATATGTTGCCAAGAAAAACATCCAGCTTTTAGCAAGTCCAGGAGACCGAGGAATGTCAGCGCAATGAACAACATCGCATAGCAACACAATATATCGGAACACTGATAGTATGCTTTTATCAATAATCAACATGCACAACATTTTCTTTTTGCACTACCAATTAAAAAAAATGGCACTCTGTAAGTTTTTGAATTTGATTGAGGAGTTATGCAGATCCTTGGTAGAACTCTGACGATGTGTCCAAGTTTGGATTGACATCCACCTCTACAACATTAACAGATCCTGATCCATTCGGTAGAAGAATTTTCTGAAAGTGTGTGTTACGGTCGAAGTGTGTACTGTCATAACTTCCTGCAATGCTGTCCGTGTCGTCCATCCTGGCTGTAGCCTGATACGGCATACTTACCGTATCCTCTTCTGGGGCATCGTCTACCTGATTCTTATAGGAGAAAAGGATGCTTGGCTGTGACATTCTGAAACAGAAAATTTTCAGGACTTCAAATTCTTTAATATTCACAAAAAGAAATAACAAAAATAGAAATTTCGTCTTGAATTACTTGAAATCTTCTCATCAGTATTTTTGTTTTTTTAACAAGTCATTTTGTAATAGGCTTCTATTTTTTTATGAATTATGTTGTTCCATAGCTTACCTGAAAAATTTTCTCAGAAAAACCAGGTACACAACAGGAGCAAAACAGGTAAAATAAATATAAGTTGTAACATCCACCACACTGTAAAAGAATATTGTATATGTGTTTTAAGGAATGGATACCACTAAATGAAAAGGAGTCATCCATAAATTTGAAGTGATGCCAAAACGTCATATGTATACACAAATAATTATCATATCATTTAAATTATTGTGCAATAATACAATAAAATCAGTTATAAATCACCATAAGTTCACTTTGTATAATCATGTTTTAGTTACCCCCCTTTAGTATAACCATGTTTAGTTACCCCCCCTTTAGTATAATCATGTTTTAGTTACCCCTTTAGTATAATCATGTTTTAGTTACCCCCCTTTAGTATAATCATGTTTAGTTACCCCCCTTTAGTATAATCATGTTTTAGTTACCCCTTTAGTATAATCATGTTTTAGTTACCCCCCTTCAGTATAATCATGTTTAGTTACCCCCCTTTAGTATAATTATGTTTTATAGTTACCCAATATTCATTCATTTTGATAAGCAAAATACAAAAAGGATACTTATCCTAATCACTTGATCAATTTGTATATAGTTGTACTTGTTTTCTTAGTTAAGGAAAAATGATGAAAATATGACCTAATGAAATCTATATGATCTTAGTGGTAAATTATTTTTAAGAATATGAACTGGAATAATTACCACATTCCGTTTTGTATGGAGCTGTAGATGAGGGCACTACCTACAGCTTGGGCAGCGTTCAGGGCAGCCAGGAATGCTGCATATCGATAGAACGACCTCTTGGCTGTAATACACAATGACTTTGTAATGATCAATTTTTTAAAATACACACACCATTGAACTTAATTTTTTAAATATGAATATTAATAGTAATATGTAGCGTTATGCAAAAAATAAATGAACCTACAAAATTCAAATGTTTATTTTGCTTTAAAAAAAAGTACTGAAATTTTCAATCGGTCAAACACAAGAAATATAATAATGGAGGTGCAATATCCCCATAGTTTTTCAAAATTTCACAAATTGGACCAGTTTACAATAATTACGTGTACCAGTATATTCATAGCCAATACCACTATATATGTAAATTTAAATGTGGGAAATATATCATTATACACGCTAAAACAGACTATAAACCGATACAAGTTAACTTTAGTTCAGTTTTCATGATGAATTATAGAATGCTGGTGCTTTGATGGTTGTTTTAAGATTTATCATCAAAACATGATTTATCGGCTTACGTGGAAGAGCCAGCTTTTCCCTCAGACTTGTCCATGGCAGGAGAAATATCACTGTGTACACCTGTAAGAAACAAAAGATAGAAATATATTTACACAATAAGGAAATGGTGAGTCTATCAAATGTTTGAATATGTTTGGACAAATTCTATTGAATAGAAGCAATACTATGGTGATACAGAATTATGTATGTAAATAATTTAAATGTAAATTATTTAGCAGGAATCTGTAAAATACCAATGTCCGGAAAAATTGAGGAAATAGACCTTCACATTTTCTGTGAAAAACTGACTTAATAGTGACATGGACAGCTCACTGACTGAGCACTCAAAGCAAATCAATGTAAGGAGAGTAAAAAATAAATTCTAAACTGAAGAAATTAGAAGCCAAATACTTCTCAGATACAAGATAGCATGTTAACATACGGTTATAGCTTTCTAACTTGCGATCAGGTTAGACGACAATGTTATCTCACCAGAAAGAAGAACAGAGAGCTGGTGAGCCAGAAGATCATGCCTCCGTGGCCAAATATGTCATAGTCCTGTATCGTGCTGTTGGGACTCTGCTTCACCTGAAAGTTTGGGTCTGGGTATGTAAACTCCAGTGTGCCCTGCAAAAAACATTCAATATTTTTTCTAAAATCTTCTGTAACAATATATCATACCCACATCATATCTATTTATCAATGATTTCTGGGTTGAGTTCAAGTTTAAAACCATTAAAACTAAAAACACAAACTCAGGAAGGGTCATCGACACTAACAATTAAAGATCATAAAAAAATTTTTTGTAAATCATTAAAATATGGTGATCTGATCATGACACTGTGTATCAAATGTCTGTTCCTTTCTCTCATTTTCTTTTTTTATGATATATTTTAAGCTCCAACAAAATAACACATGGCTGTCTCTAATAATGTCCAGTTGAAGAAAATACAAGAAGGTGGAGTGATCCATCGTCCTATTGGTATAGCTGGTTGGTATGTGTATTAGTAGAGGAACTAACGGTGGATACCGAGGTATTCTAATAGAGCTTCGTAGACGATAAGTATTAACAAGCAGAAGAAGGATGAAGCATCAACACCAAGGATTCCGTAGTTGACATGTTACAGATTTATTCATGAATGTTTCAGACCTAACCACCAAGCATATATATATAACCATGTAACTGAGTGAATTAGAGCTATCATTACCACTACTAACCTGTGTACATGAGTACAGCAGAGCTATACACGATGTGACTGCCAGTACTCTCTGGATACTCCGTTTACTGTCCAGGTGACCTGGAAGAGAATCATTTACTCTCATCAATAACAGATTTTTAAAGGAACTTGTGAATTTAACCACTTCATTGTAGTACATTCTGCTTGGCATATATATTCTTGGGGGTGCACAGAATACTTCTATATTTACCACAGAACCTTTAGATTTAAATGTCTTCAGTTATAACTTTAATGCATTAATTCATGGTCAAAAAAATCAAATATTATCAATGAAATATCATTAGTCCAAAATGAACAAAAATTATTCAAACATCAAAACTAGCCATACTACCTGGTACATGCAACACCTATACTTGTGACCGCATATTTTGAAAACACTTACCAAAGGCCAGTCCAAATATCACAATGGACAGCTCAGTGGCCAGTAGGAAGAATCGCAAAATTAACCACAGCACCTAAATAAAAAAGACTTTTGATAAATTGTATAACCAGAGATCACACTCATTATTGCATACGATACTACCTCAAGATTATCAATATTGAAGTCACACACATCAATGTATTTGATATACCACCTTAATTATTTTACACTAAGTATGCCACTGAATTCTTCATATTCATTCATAAACTTCCACTAAAGGAGATTGAAAATAATTTACACTGAGAACCTGGTATGTTCTTCATTGAAAACATAAACAGGAACTGGTATTACAAATGGTGAGAAATCATTACACCAGTTACCTGGTAGTTAATCATATAAAATCATTTTTTCTGATTTTTGAAAATATCTATTTTATAAGCAAAAAGTCCAATATTATAGTTTATTTTTACCAAATATGAATTAGTCTATGCAATGATATATGTTCTCTAAAGAACAACATCAAAAAGGCTATTACTGGGTACGTTTATAAGCAGAAATAAATATTTCAATAAATTTTATCATAATGATCATTTTAAATCATAGACGAACAGCAATCAACAATTGAACAATGAAACAAACACTGAAATAATGCAAGTATCAATTTTCCATGACTAATAATTAATATTTTCTTTATTTCTTTTGTAATTTACCTTGTCTGCAATATCACCAGCCAGGACAGATGCATTAACTGTCATAGACACTATACACCTCAGTACACTGATGACTGCAACTGACAACACCTGAAACAGATATTTAAGTGATGGTCACTGAAGAAACCAAAACTATGTCTGCGTTCTCTGTTAAATTAACCATAATGTGTAGTGCTGGTGCTTTTTTCATTCCATGAAAAACAAATCCTTTTCTAATTTATTCTAAATCTAAGATCTAATGAAGCAATGACACACATGTGGAGACAGTTGTAATACTTAATCTGAGATCTAATAAAACAAAAAAACACATGTTGAGACAGTTGTAATACTTAATCTGAGATCTAATGTAACAGAGGTAATTATTTATTTCAATGCCTCCACTAGGAATCAAACCTGGGACCCCTGGCTTACTAGTCTGACTAAAGAGAAGTTCTCCCTAGCCGAGTGGTATATTGCGGCTAGTATTTTACCAGGGTTGCATCTAATAAAACAACAACACACATATGGAGACAGTTGTAATACTAAATTTAAGATCTAATGAAACAATGACACACTTGTGGACACAGTTGTAATACAAAGATCTAACGTAACATTGACACACTTGTGGAGAATGTTGATGTGTAAATGTACTGTCTCATAGAAAAATATCTCAAATGTAAATCACCTGAAATTAAATATGTAAGCATAAATAACAAAATTTTTATTTTCTTCTTTATTTGTGTTCGTGTTTGTTATTCTTATCTTTTAAATTCCTATTGATCATTTTTGCTTTCTTAACGTACAGGTTATTTCATTGGTGAATAACTGATACATGTTTGTTCATCTATATATCATAGAATAGTGTTCTCTTCCTTTCTTTTCATGACAAAAAATAACATGATTAAAAAGATAACATAAGGTAGAAACCAGTATGGTAATATGTATATGCATAAATTTTAAGCAAGGCATATTTTTGTGTATTTCATTTTCAAAGTTTTCTGTAACTACGTGAAGGTAGCGGTAACATCATGTATCCTTACCAGCATGTAGAACGCTGTAAATATTGGGCTGTTAGTGTGCCTCAGTTTGGATACTGCACTCCCAAGTTTCACTAATAAAAATGCTAGGAAGACAGCATTTGGTACCAGGATAATCAGATCCCATACTCGTACCCTGGAAAATATATCAGGTAAAATGAAATTTTTTTTACATGTTTTGTCTCAACAACTTTTAAAAGTCAATAAATGATTTGAACAGAAGTGTAAATATAAACAAACTGTGTTTCCTCATGAATTACATAAATTTGCGGAAAAAAAAAAGACCAAAAAATAACACATCAACATATGTTTTATTGTTTGCTTAAAGCCATCAGAACAAGTATTTGACAACATTCATAAATTTGTCACTCTGGCAAGTAAAGATATTTATTTCTTGTAAATGATACCAGTTCTAGGTAGGTCTCTGACTAGTGTACGTATGAATCTTGTATAGTACCTTGAATCTGCTATATCGTCATACAGTATATCCTGACAGATGGGACGTGTAAGTACAATGTCAGGTATAGGTATGCTTTTGTTTGCCGTGGTAGCCCCAGGGAGCATTGTGGGGCCCACATGCTCCAGGGCAACCCTCAACACTGGCTCATGCAGGACATTTGGAATGGAAGTGGCTAATCCCACCGGTGGTTTCTGTGTAAATAATGTCACTCCGGATTGCGACATGTAGCTCTGGATCACTTAATCAATTACAGCCTTTCTGATATTGGATTCATCTGAAATGAAAGATTTGTTTCATCTACACACCATAAGGACGGTACTTTGAATATAATACAACTAACACAGGCAAGAAAAAGAAAGAGTCACTACCATTTAACATTTCCTAGTTTCTCTAAGGACTGCAAAAATGTTGTTATCTGCTACCCTTGATTATTTTTTTGCCAAAATTATTATTTCATTTTTCATCAGTGGAGAAATTAACTTTGTCACTTTAACTAATAATATCCTCTATCGTCATTTTGTGCTACTTCACTGTACATTAAATTCATATCCCATGATATACACAGCTAAAATAACACTAATTGTTCCTGCTACACTCATGTACATGTGAGATTGGTTTTGGTAAACTTCTAAAAATAGAATAATCCCTATTAATGAGTTAGAACTTAGAGAGAGATCCAGGTATTTTAAGAAAAACGATAGATCTAATCACGATCTCAAAAAGTCTGACATGAAATCAAATATCACAATCCAGAATTATTCTTGATTGTCAATCTGAAAGTGGAGGAATGATTCAACATATCAACACATATGTTTAAACTCACAATCGTATTAACTGTCAATGACCTGTGGTAATGTTTTCGTTTTCCTCCCTTTTCCTTTTCCGCACTTCCGGTAATATAATTTTCGGAAAAAAACATTGATAACCCGAGAGCGTTCCGAATGCTAAATACATCTTTTTAACGCTTGATCATGTAGAAACGTATGGGTTAAGCGCCCTCGCTTCACAGATCCAAACGGAAGTTAAAAAGAAATATTTCGTGCCGAGCAAGGATTATTTTTGCTCTCTTACCAGAAAAACAACATCGATGATAATATAAAATCGGTACTCAAAAGAATGTGCAGACACGCATTATTGTCGTCCTTTCATAATACGAAAAATATGCACGCAGATAATTGGCTTTATGAAACAACGTTTTGTTTTCATTTAAACATGTTACCGATCGGAACATGATCATGAGAAACTGAAAGTAGAATACACTTCAGAAGCGGCTACCCGCGAAAATCGACTGAGGGGAGTACATATAAGAACACAGGATGAGTTGTTTCAAAGGGCGAATGAGTGAATACAGGAGCATATCTCTTGACAGATTTGATGGACCTAATTTGAATTCGACCGTGTATTTTCTATCCCACCTTCATGAAGGTATGGTGTCGACGCTAAATTATCATGATTTGAATTGATTTGTTATTGGAAACCGTAAAATATCTATTACATATAATGACGTATACAATAGAAACACTGATTGAATTTCTATAGCAAAGATATTCAAGTTTACTAGCCATACTATTTTGATCAACCATTTTCTTCAAAAGTAAACAACTGATCTTTTCAAATTATTCTTTTATTGATTGTGATAACGTTTGTGACAAAAAGTTTCTGTTAACTTTAGATATTTGTAAAACAAAATGCATGTTTTAGGTATTTACAAATGAAATAAACTATAGTCAGTGCTTACTCCACACTAATACATCATAAATGCAGCGAGAAGATAAGGAACTTCACTGTTTTACAGCTCAGTGAACAAGCACAAATATTAACACCAGAGAAATCACCACTGAAACTAGTTTCTTACCTATCAGTGTTAGAAGTCCCTGATATAAAGGCATGGGGTTATTAATGGAAAAATATGGTACACAGAACTTTTTTTGGAGGAAAAAAAAGTAACTGTAGTCAAAGTTATTGCTTGTATGCAATGAATCATATGAAATTGATAACAGAAGTTAAAATTCTATAGTACAGTACAGGGTTTTCCATAAGAGCTGGTCGTCGGCCAATTTGACCAGCTAATTTGATCATTTGGCCGCCGCCACCAATCCAGTTCCGCAATAATGTTCCGTACACGTACACGACAGGCCAGCCTCCTACTTTCACTACACAGCCTACTACTAACCAAATTATGGAAAACCCTGACAGTACATACAATATAGTACATGTATATACATATGTATGTACGTAGAGTTTTTATTTGTTTATATATCTGCCTGCATGTGACAAACTTCTGTAGCAGTTCCCAAAATTGACTATTGAAATTTGTTCAAAAACCAACAATGTCATTACAACAAGATTTTCCCCTATAGACAGAAATTTAAACAATGTGGTTGATAATTAAGTGTTTATCACTGTTTATAACTCAAAACCTTTTTCTTATTCTATATATAATTTACAAAAAGTATGTTAATTTCTGCTAGGCTTTATTCAATGCCATTAGCAATACTAAATTAATTTGTATTTGTGTGTTTTAATACTTCAATCTTTACAAATCACTTCAGTCATAAAATGATTCTTTTGTTTTCAGATCACACTGTTGGGTTAAGTGCACCCAGTTTCATAACAAGACTTAAAGAAAGGTAAAATTGCAGTGATATTCAGGTAAAATTGCAGTGAAAGGTAAAATTGCAGTGATATTCGGGTAAAAATTGCAGTGATATTTGGGTAAAATTGCAGTGATATTCGGGTAAAATTGCAGTGAAAGGTAAAATTGCAGTGATATTCGGGTAAAAATTGCAGTGAAAGGTAAAATTGCAGTGATATTCGGGTAAAAATTGCAGTGACACTCAAGCTGATTGTGACATTAAATATTTGAATCAAGAATTTTAGATTAAAATTTAGCAGTGATAGTATATTTACGCTTTGTACAGTATTTACATTATCAGTTGATCATGCTCTGTTAATGCTTTTTAATTGTATTCATTCATGTACACAGAGATTCCTGGTCCAGCTTTTTTTTCAGTTTTAAACATAGAATTCATAAAGTTTCTACCATTGTAGATGAAAGGGTTCATATTAAAATGCTGCCTCTACCTTTTGTCTTATCATACGTAATTGTTCAAATTTTCTCTTTGATTATTTAGCTTTTGTTTGTTCTTGATGTAAGAACACTTGTTAGACAATCGTAAAACATGAGTAAAGTAATGTTGTAACTTAATTGCTAGATCTAAGTGTCCATGTTTCTTACTTTACTCTTTCACCAGCTTTTGTGAAGTGAATTTAGGAGAATTTGATCAATTTTAAGTGGCTGGATTTCTTTGATTATCCTTTGAATATTAATAACTCGATTTGCTCTCTTAATTTGAAAAACAGAAAACATTACATATACAATGTAAATTGTGTTGCAGCTCTGAAATTTTCCTCTACTGTTCTGAGATAACTAAAGTTCTGCTTGCTGAAAGTCCAAAATATCAACATCTGGAAAGATATATTGTGAGTATCAGATAGTATCCAAACTTGTTCAGGTAAAATGTGTGAATGAGAATATAGGAATATCAATGGGACAGTATCTGTCCATGCACTTTTTGCTTAGCTAATCCTCCTGCATGGACTGGTGACAGGACCTCCATAATTAAGTATTGCATGTTTTGAATACCTGACTGAAAGTCAGACCACCATGACATTAAAATTAACGGAATTTCTTTCCAAGACGAGAATTTTGTTGACCTGTGTTAGGTCCACTGCTGGAACTCATAGTCCAGGTGGTCACCATCACTACCAGCTTCAAAAAGTATTATTAGTTCATCTTTAGCAAACAGTACTTTTTTTAAAAAAATTTTTCTGGCGAGTCCAGAGCAGCATTTCCGAAATTTTGCTGAGTCCAATTACAAAGAGATTTTGTAAGTTCTCAAAATATGAATGAATCCCACAGGAAAAACATGAGTCTAGGACTCAAATATTTGAATCCCAAAAATTACCTGCATAGAAATTTGAATCAAAAGAGGACTTTCACAAATGAGTTGTGTTTGGTCGACAAATGTGTCCTAACTGAAAGTTGGACTTCTAAGAAAATGTCAAAGCTACTACAATCTTAGAAAAAAAAACTTGTCTTTGACATTTGTCACAAGACTATCTCGGATGAATGATAGGAATGTTTGATTCACAAAGTCCATACTGAAATACTTGTTTCACTACGTATACAGCGAGTTGACTGTGAATTGTTGAAATGTTCTTATTTCATTTGAGTCTCATTTATCTTTTTAGTTCCAATGCGGTGGATGTTAATAGTAAATTTTTACATTTTTTTTCTTGCAATAGAAAACTCTGCCTGATAGTCATCCTGTGACAATATCTATCCCACCAACACATGCATGTAAGGTAAATATGTATATTTAATTTCTGATTTATTTGGAAACAGATTTTGACTTTGATTGTTTTTAATCTCAGGAAAATTCTTCTTTTAATGTACTTAAATGTGATAGATTTTAAACCAAGGATAGATCTGAAAAGATTTCATTGCTAATAACTTCATTCATTTTGTTTTTTTGTTTTGTCTTTGGAATACTGATAGGAATTATGTAGTATCAGAAGACACTATATATAGATTTATATATAGATTTTCAAATTACTTTTGTGTTTGAACAGTAGAAAACAAATATTATGTTGATTTATCAAATTTTAATCAAAATTAAAATGTTTAATAAACTTTTTGCAAATAAAGATGATAGATTTTTAAGATTAAAAAAAACCCAGCTACCCATAGTTTTTAGTATATCACTTATTGAATTTATAGTGATATCTATTAAAATTGATTATTTTGCAGGTTGATTTTGTTCAAGTGACACTTCTACCAGCTGCTCATTGCCCAGGCTCTGTTATGTAAGAAATTTATGTTAAATGATTTACCTCCCTTGACAAGTGTGAAGACCATGTTCATTGTTAAGCCCACCTATTAAAAGAACTGATCAAATGTAATCATTCAGATACATGCACTATGTAAAGACGAAAGTGTTGTTCGAAGGTATATACATTCTTTAATTAGTAAATCTAACCACAGCTATTTACTGATATATTGTACTTGTTGAGAAATAATACAGGATTTTCCAGGTAGGGAGTTCTTTCTTGTATTGCTCATATTACCAAAGAAGTTTGATATTATGATAATTTATTTATTGTCATTGGTTGCAGGTTCCTGTTTGAGGGGTCAGAGGGCACCGTTCTGTATACTGGAGATTTCCGTTGGGAGGCCAGTCACATCTCTAATGTTGCTGCACTTCATGATGGGGACAGGTAGGAACAGTAATAACTTTATTTCTTTTAATCAGAAACTGCATTTTTCTTTCTGTATGAAATAAATCCCTGACAACCAGGAATAAACAATTTAAATTGGATGAAACCAATTTCAGTGAATTACATCAAATTTGTGATTAATAGAGGAGATGGTATAGTTTCTAATACGCTTTAATACGATTTAAGTCTCTGACATGCTAGAAGAATATCTCAACTTTTATGCCGTTGTAAATCATATTTTGATAAAATGAAAATCCATTTTCATGTCTGTCAAATTTTGTAACAATTGATTTACTTCAGTGTGTGGAAAATACCTCAGACTAGCAAATGAGAAGTATATGATATTGGGTAATCTGAAGTTTCAGAGCTCTATATTACGCATAGAATCTGCTATTTAAATTAAACATTGATACACATAGTAGAAATATTACTGCATGATCAAGTTCCCAGAAAATATGCAAAATACAATATATTCAGAAAATAAGTCTTTATGTTATTTGGAATTTTATCTCAGCAAGTGTTTGTCTATAATAAACCTTAAAAAAGATCAATTTCTAAACTTCTTACAGTGTAAAACCCATCCAGAGCCTCTATGTGGACACTACCTTTTGCCATCCAGACTGCTTCCATATCCCAAGTCGTCAGGACTGCGTGGAGGCTGTCAGTGGACTGGTCAAAGAGTGGATAGCCAAGGGTCATGGCCATGTGGTCCATTTCACGCCAAGGTCTAATTTTGGACATGAACACCTCCTAAAGGAAATCTCCACCAGAACGAGCCTAAAGGTTTTAGTACTGATAATTGCTGTTTTGATGTATAAATACATCTTACTTTCAATTTAGTCCTGAGGGACCAACACATTTCCTGTCAATCAAAATCAGGAGGCGGGCTTATTCTAAAAAACAGATTCAGCACTTGTTGATAATTCTGTTGAACAATGACATCGTTTTATTGGTGGGTGCATTTTGAAAATAAGTATAGGAATAGTATGATAGTATAATCAATAATAAAAATCTTATCACTGAACAGCTATAGGATAATATTGAACTTGTTGATAATTAATGTAACATTGCTGCTTGTCTCACAATTTGTTATACTTTAAATACACAAGTTATAATCTTATCTTAGCACTTTTTGTGATAGAGATGTTACGCTGAAATATGATGGTGGATTTGTGTATGTGACTATTATTGCAAATACATTTAATTCATCTTTGTGTTTATCTTTTCAAAATTTTTGTTGTGCTGAAATTTGATTGCACAAAATTAAGTACGGGTATTTTTACAATAGACAATGAAATTGTTGAGAACATTGGGTTGATAAAACTAACTTATTACATCATATTACAATCTTGAATGGTTCATCTGAAGGAATTTACTGCACTTCATCAATCAAAATGGCATTCTCTATTGCAATAGATCCATGTGTCAAATGCCAAAGTGAGATTATACGAACAGATCTGTGGCCTTAGGGGTGTATTTACCTCCGACCCTGACGAGACACCAATCCACGCTTGTCTGAGGGAGGTAAGCAGTATTCCTGATATAATATGACTTATATATATCCTCACAGTATTAATCACATGTCATTACAATTGGAAAATGTATTTTAAAGTATAAAAGTTGTGAAAATAACTGAAGGAAAAATAGTTATCTCCCTTTAATTTATATGGACATAGAAATTGTATTTTTTATAGCTGGATAACTTGTATATGATTAACTGTTTTCTATTTCTAAAGTGTTATGCTGTCACTTTCCTCATTGTTACAGATTCAAAAGATGTCTGTATCTTGTTTCATAATCCACAGGCCAGAAAATGTAGAAAACATGAAGTTTTCTACAGATTTATGTACAATATTTTCCATTATGTATGATGTTTCACACTCGTGTAATGTTAAAGTCACCTCATAGCCAGATGGTAAACAGAGATCTATGATCAGTTTCTTCGATTACAATTCCCCATCATAAATGCTCCAATTTAGCGCAACTCTAGGGGTGCATTTTTATATGAATATGGTGATGCAAATAAATTTTTACTTTATCAATAAATCAATGATTTTAAGCATATAAAGTATTGGTACTGTAAGTATTTTGAAAATGCAAAGTGTTACAAACAGAAATTTTTTTTTATCTAATTTGTCATTTTTTCCCCAGAAGTTTACAAAAGGTGACTCGAACTCCCTGCCCTGTGGCTACAAAGCTCCCAAACATTCCAAAATCAACAAGATGGTAATTCTTCCTTCTACCATGTACTTCACTAAGAAGATGCGTTTGAACCTCTCTAACATTGTGGAGAAGACAGGTGGTATATATCGTGTCTGCTATTCCTTCCATTCCTCATACAGCGAGGTGCGCAACGTCGTCACCTATCTCAAACCTTGCAAGGTCCGTCCCAATGTCAAACCAGAGCCAGATCCATCCTTGGGCGAGGTAAACAGGCAGATGTTTTCATAATTTCATGTCCTAACCGATAGTTTTATTACTTATTTATATTACATATTTATAATTTGTATGGAAAATACATTGCATGCAGTACAAGTCATTTTATATAATATGCTTTGTCAGAAATATCGTATTTTTTAATCTTAAAGAAAATGGTACCATAGTAATGATATCATAATTTTTGTCATGTATTTAATTTAACTACACATAACTACACATAACTGTACAATTTAGGGTTACATGCTTTCCAGTGCCAGTGTCAGGCATTTCCTCCTACCCTTAAAAATCAAATAAATGTGACTTTTCTTTTAAGGTTCAAAAGAGGCTAAACCATTTCTTGAAGATGCAACACGTTGAGCAGAAATATGAGACAGTTGACAAAAAGTTTGGTACACTTAAGAAGAGAAAGAAAAGAAAATATGCACAATATAAAGATTCGTGTGAGTTCATCTTTAGCATATAAGATATTACAGTTTTGATAAAATTATATAAATGTCAGGATGTACTAAGAGATATAGTGTACCCAAGTACAACATACATGGACCCAAAATATTTCTATAGGTATGCAGTGTAACTGAGATCAACCATTTTACAAAATACTGGTAATTTTGACACATTTTGTGATAGTTAAACATTCAGCCACATTTAGGTGACTCCTGATGAAAAGTTTTGATGACCTTTTGTACCAAATAGTTGACTTTCTGAGTTGGATTGAATTCAGAAGGGTGTTAAGAGAAAAACAAGGAATTTGAATTTTGTGGATTAAGTATGCAGATGTAATACAATTCGCGACATTCCAGATTGACTTTGACTTAATGAGTGTTGTAAATTGCTCTTGAATTTCATGGTTGAGTTTTGACAATGAGTCAGAACTTTCTGAGTAGACTAAGTTTATCAAAACATTGTGAGTGGATCTGAAATATATAGAGCTGAGATACACTCTATACATAACCATTTTGGCATCAAATTCTTATATTCCAGACAAAAGTTGGACTCTGATAAAATAGTCGTTCTTTTCCTTCTAATATATAAATACTTTCATCGTCCTCTAGGTACCAGTGATTCAGACGAGTTGGTATTTGGATCTCCAGACCTGAAGCGCATGAGGAGTGAAGAAGGTAACATTACCCCTGTGAAGAACCAAAGAGGAGCTGGTCCAGTAGGGGACAGGGAGAGGGTGGCTGTGCCCCCAATGTCCCCACAGGAACCTGTCACCCCAATGAAGAGTGATATTTCTGATATACAGAGCTCCTATGCTGGCAGTAACCATGATGATATTGAGATGAGTGAGAGTGGGCTGCTATGTGACTCTGGTGATGACCAGGAAGAAATCAGGTGAGGATTATGTCTTAACTTGTATGATTTTACACTCAATCTGATGAATGATCATATTAATTTGGTTCTTAGCCCATCCAGCCATTGGGCGAAATGATCCTAAACGATTTTTGACCTCTGACCTCTCTAGGACAGAGATAAATATATACATCTTGTCCAAACCATCCTTGGTCAAAGGTGTTTTCAATTATGTATAACAGAGATTGTTGGGAAATGATCTGAACCTCATAGAGGTTCTGGTTCCCCAAGAGTAGAGGGGTAGCACTTTCAAATTCTTTCACTGTTAAGATGAAGGATATTTTTTTTTTACCAAAGTTAGTCTAAAAATTCTCTGTCAAAGGAATTTCAGTTATTTTGTAAACTGAGGGTCTCTCCCTCCTCAGTGCAAAAGGATGGGTCCAACTAGGGGAAAGGAAAAGGGATAAATTTTAACTTCTGAGAAACTGGTTGTTATATGATTAGGTCATGTGACACATATGATCAAGATGACCTATAATCATCACGTTTTGTCCATTGTTGTATACTGTACATTAACTTTTTCCATTTTAAACTTCTCAAATTACACTATTTCGATTGAGCTGAAACATGCCTGAGACAATCTGATATTATTCTATCCAGATGTCTTTATCTTCCCTATGGTTATGACAGCCATACTGTAACATGATTGTACAATCATGGTTTCCCTGAACATCTTATATTTAAACTATTCAAGTTCCATGAGTGATCTTTAGTTCAAACATGCCTGAAATGATCCAGAGATGATTCAGATCAAGTGTTATTTTTCAGGGCTGGTCCAAATTCTAATATGGCTGCCATGGCCGCCATCTTGAAAAGCAAATTTAAAATTTCTTTTACAATTACCTGGGTGCCATCAAGATGAAAATTGCTAAGAATGTTAAGGAAAGGCAGCAAACAAAATGATTTTATTTTTCATCCAAAGTTCGATATTGAAGCCAGGTGGCCACTTTTTTAGTTGTTTATGCAATCATGGTTTCTCTGAACTGTACCTGTTTTAAGCTTCTCTTCAAATTGCATCAGTGGAATTTAGATCAAACTTGCAAGAAATAATGCAGAGATGGTCCTGACCAAGTGTTGTTATTGTTGGAGTCAGTCCAAAATCTGCAATGGCTGGTTATTTGAAAAACATTGAAAACTTCTTCTGCACTTCCACATATGCCATTGGTCTGAAATTTTGTGGGAATCTTGAGAAACTGACAAAAATAGTGTTTTGTGTCCTTACCACTAAAATATTCCAAACAGTTTTGATCAGTAAAAAGTTGTTTCCAATACTTCTACTAAAACTGTTACCAGTGTATAATATATTGGCCTTGATAGTCACATTACCCATAAGGCTCATCAGTCCTCTTGTTGTGAATTAGTGATCTGTCCTTGTGAGCAACACAGACTCAATAGGGAACATACATATATGGCTTTCTCAGTTTTACTAATGATATCCTCAAACCTACTCAAGCCTGTCATATTTGCAATGTGATCGATAAAAAAAATGGCCTTGAAAGAAGCATTTTGAATGTTATTAACCGTCTGATTTTTTAAACCATCCTTTACATAATGCTTTGTTGATGAAGTTTTTCTTAACCCCAGGATTCCAAAATAAATAACTGGTGTATGGTTCAGTCTTCTGCCCTTTATCTAAGCAAACCATCAATTAAATTCTTTGTGTGGTACTCTTTAACAGATCCTGGAATCCTAGGGTGTGATAGATGTGTTACTTGAATAGCCCCGAACAAAACTTGGGAGTCCTAGGATGGGATATTTGTGTTTCTAGAATAGCTCTTAATTTATATCATTTGTATGATTTCTTTTTTGAATTAACAGAGGTTTCCAAGGAGATGACCTTTCAACCCCTCCACAGAGTTTACTAGATGCCATAGATTCTGAATGTGGCTCACAAGAAATGAAATCTTGTAGAGTTACCTTCCTTGAAGATGAGGAGCAGACAGTTGGACAGCAGGCATGGGACTCACCTGATGTTCCAGACTTTGGTGAGGAAGAAACTAACGCAAAAACAGAGATGGGAGATGAATTGATATCAGGAGATGAAAGCATCCAAAAGAATGTGGTGGATGCTGACATTGTTGGTAATAAGTCTAGTCAAAATAAGGACATCAGTGTCAAAAATGGTGTAAAAGCTTTAAATGCAGATTCTGATGACAGTGTGAAATGTCAAGGTTATCAAGGAGATGTTGATAGTTCACAAGAACAGACAAATACAACTCAAAAGTGTTTGGAGAACAACATTTGTGATTTGGAAAAGGTCAAGAATGTTAATCATTGTAAAGAAACAGGCTGTACTGTAGCTCAGGACGCCAAAGAAAAACAGGAGAAAGAAGTTGGTTCAGAAAGAAAGTCTCCAGACATCTGTCATTTAGATGATGAACTGCTGGAGGAGGAATCAAATAACAGTATTAGCATTAGCAAAAAAGACATTTCTTTGGATTCTGGTGGAAATTTCGTTTCAGAGGTTGACCATAATCAGAAAGAAAAGTCCTGTTCTGAGTGTAATAAAAACAAAATATTAAACATGTCACAAAATAGCTCGGAGACTTTTGAAACAGTGTGTTTTGTATCAAAACAACAGTCGAAAGATACAATATCTAGTAGTTCTGAAGAATGGAAGAAAAATGGCAGCCATGATTTGTTTGAAGATAGTAACGATGGATTCATTGAAGGTGAGATGGAGGGAGGGGATTGTCAAAGATTGATTATAACTAGTAGTCGGAGCACATCAGGAAAAGAAAGCAACAGTGATTGTGAGAGTGGAAATAGAGAAAATTTTGACTGTAATAGTAGTGAAAGGAAATCATTGAAGGACAAACAGGAAAACAAACCTGGTACAGAAGCACAAGGATGTGAAGATTCGGAAAAACAGAATTTGAGCCGGGAGAAATCTGAAGCAATTGAAGTTACAGACTTGACACAAAACTGCGATGAACAACCTAATGTGAGACACAGAGACACACATGTATGCAAAATAGTAAAAGGTCAGAAACATCAGAGTGTTAACAAGAAAGATTTACACCGACTGTCATCCTGTGACACCCCTGGAACCTCGCGCAGTGTGTGTCAGTGTGTTCTTGATGCTAGTCCACAACCAGACACAATCCTTGTGGAGATTCAAGAAGATAACCAAGGAGAACAAAATGTCAAACAAAGCAGGTTGCAGATTAAAAGATCTCCGCAAAAGCCCCTGTCGAAATTACTCACCAACACACAAACAAATGATCTTGTTATAGCTATTTTAGATTCTGATTCCGAATCTGATGAACTGGAATCTAGTGTTCATAAGACAAGTGATGTCCATTGTTATGAGTCGGACAGTGACATGACCTTACCCCCAAGTCAGGAGGTTCGTAACGTCACGAAGGTCACGGAAGTGTGTAATTCACCAGATAGTAAAGATGAGGATGTGATGATTATAGATGATGACACAGAGGATGATTCTGATGACAGCTCGTCGGTTTCGTCAACTAGCAGTGATGATAGTGTGAAGAATATTAACCCAAGGTCAAGGCTGGACAAAATCCAGCAAGCATTGTACATCAGAAATAACGAGACAAGGACAGGAGATATCCTAGGAGATAATACTGCAGACAGTGACAAGCTTTCTAATGATAGTGAATGTGCTGTGATCGACCTCACTCTAAGTGATAGTGAGGAAGATAGCCAGTCTGACGAAATGTCTCGCCAAGTGTCCCATGTGCTGGATGAGTCTTAAGTAGATGTGAATATTGATAAGCTTAGATCTATTCCTTAACAGTGTCATTACTGTAATGTTTATGATAGAACTGGTATCAAAGTTCAATTCATTTGTTGTAACAGTTTTTGTAATGTCTTCAGAGGGATGTTTTATATATTTATGGAATTGAGAAAAATAAGTTCCCACATCAAGTTTCTCATATTTGATAATTTTGGGAAAAAACATCTGTATTATACATATATCTTTTATCCAACCATCACTAGATGATGGCCCCTTCATTTTTGACATTATTCTCTCAAGAGCTACACTATAGGGATTTTCTTGAAACATCACTCACATGTTTGGGATGGGTTCTAGCTGTGCTTTCTGCCAGTGGCCATCTTGGATTTTGACTTTGAAATTTCAAATATTTCATAAGAATTACCAAGAGGATATTCTGTATCAATATGTTAAGTGTGGATCCTAGCTGTATGTCACTCAGTTCGAGTGTGCAAAATATTGAGCAGCCAATTTGTCCATCTTAGGTTGGAGAAAAAAGCCACAATTTTTCAAGAAATACACAAAAGGCCTTCATGAAAGTAAGCTTACAATGCTTTCAGAATGACTTGATTTTCATGACTGCTATCAGAGGCCATTTTGGATTTTTCTCATGCTTCTTCCACTGTTGATATTATTATTTATGGAATAAGAATAGATGAGCATACCACTGAGCCAGAGTGAAGTTCATTAAATGATGGGCACCAACATGCCTCTTGGATCTATTGTTTTGGGATATATTGTTGACATGAATAAAGAACTTAAGTTTTAGCTTTATGAGGTGAATTAGACAGCATTTTACCACAAAATTTTTACTCTTAGAAATCTAAGAAAAGTGCAATGAAAGTGAGTAATTTTGTGATAAATTTCAGTATCATAATGCTTTTCCACAGTGGATAATTATTCTCTACTGTTGTTCTGGGCGTCTGTCATATTTATACTATATATTATAGAATAAAATACTTCTGTAATATAAATTGTATCGTGATCCATTTTTTTGTCACCCTACCCATATGGCTAATAAATGGAGATTGTCTTATTGCTTCTGAAAATAGTCAGTTTTAAACATTCTATTTGATGTGCTAGCTGCAATGGATTTAACCCCACGATTACAATATACAGCAGACTACGATAAATATAGGCCATGTTTAATATAAAAGCATTTTTCACCATGCAGAATGAGTTTCATTAAGCTATACACATAAGTCATTAGCCTGTAGATTGTATCGCTTTTTGGAAAGTTTACCGAGATGCAAAAAAAAATCATATAGTTTTGAAAGAGTGTATTACCTTCTGTGAAATTCAATATCGGTCGCATATAAATACTCAATCTGACAGGCAATATTTTTATTTACATTAAAACGACTACCATATGTACAATATATTTATATATTTAGATATACATGTGTCATTACAAATGCACAAGATCTCGGGTAACATATTTAAGACGAATGAATTATAAAAATGAAATATCAAGATTCTTAACTTTATCTTAACTGATATTCTGAATATTACTTGTTTTCTGTTTTCAATTCCAGTGATATATATGATATGTTTTACATTTGTTAAATCTTGTTTGTAGTCCTTTTCATGGTGTGATTACATTCATCAGTTTGTGCACTTAGATATTGTACCCTGTGTATCTAGTGTAGTATCAAGAGATCAGGCGGTAGAGCCAACACCGTTCCTTCTAATTGAGTGGGTAAGTGGTTTCTACACTCCTCATTGTAGTATCCTATTCATCATATGAAGTGTCATTGATAACAATTCTTTAAGTGAATTAGTTCTCAATAATATCCCGGGGAAAGTAATTAACATCCTCTCATGGAAACAATTGAAATTTTTAATGTCTTGCTGAATATTAATATTTTTTACAGTTAATTTTAAATTAAAATATAAAATCTTCGTTACTTTCCGAGATGTATTTTTTCTAAACTATCAGCGCAAACAGGTATATGTAGATTGCAAAGAATATTAAGAATTTTTAATATTATATCATATGAAATTCATTTACATTATACATGCAATTGTATATATATTCTCCAATCTGTTGGTGAATCCATTTAAGAGAGAAAAACAAAATTTGTAATGCAGTCATGAGTCTGAGGAAATCCCAAATCAAACAATTACGAGGAAATTGAATTTTTTACATTTTTATAATATTTTGTTGAAACCAGATCTATTTAAGAAATTTAAACCTTTGAATAAAATTGTTTGTAGTAAATTTTGTTGTCTTTTTGTGAATTATTTCACCATAATTATGATGATACAGACAGATTAACAAGGTGATGGCAGGTATGATATATAGTACCAGGTAGTGACATGTCTGCCTGGTACCACAGGCTGTGAGGTTATGATTTTGTATCACAGCTCTGTGATGTCGTAGATAAAACAAGGTTAAAATACCTTTTTGTATTTTACTTTAATTGGCCCATAGGGCCTGTATAGCTCACATGTCTTTGTTTGGTTGAAATTGCTTCATCTAAACTAAAGGAAAAGAATTATAGATATACCCAGCACACAACACACACCTTTTCTATTTCCCAATTGGGCACCACCCCCCTGGCCCTAGTTAGTCAGCCATTCATGCTTCAGGCAAAATTGAGACAGAATACACATTTACACCAATAAAGGTTTCAAATTATTTGCTCTATTTCCCCACATGGACCCTGCTCTCCTGCCCCAGGAGGTCAAAAACCAGTTTATACAAAATTGATTTCTCTTCAAGCAAGGATGCTTCAAACCAAATTGGGACACAATGCAGGCATTCCAACAGAGGAAGACTGATTTTCCAAAATTTGTGATATTATTTCCCATATTAGGCTCACCCCTCCAGCCCAAAACCTACTGCATATAGAAATTGACTCCCAATCATAATTAGATGGATCAGACCAAATTTGGGCAGTCTGACATTCTTACAGAAGAAGATGGATTTTAAACATTTTCATCTGCCTGTCACCCAACTGGCATGAATTATTCATCCGTTCTATAGCTTACAAAGAAAATTGTCAGTTCCTAAATAAATTTCTCCAAACTTGAAATTCCATTTCTCATACATGCTTCTAAGCAAATACCATAATATAGGACCTATTGGTCATAGAAAGAAGAAATTTGAAGTGCTTAACACATTTGACCCCAGTGAGCTTGAAACGGGTCAAGGTCATTTATTTGAACAAACTTGGTAGTCCTTCTTCCCAGCATGCTACAGGCTTAATATCAGTAACCTTGGCCTATTGGTTATTGAGAAGAAAACATTTGAATGGAAAGTTTATGCACAATTCATCGTAGACAGTGCACAGTGAATGGCACATGATAACAGATGAAACAAGATGACCATTTGTCGTCCTGACCCTTTGGGGAATGGCAAATATAAAGGTTCATTAATGGACAATTGATGGACTTGTGTACAAGTGTTAAGATTTTTGAGGGGCAAAGAATGTTATTCAACATTGATGGGGGGTGTGGATGGTATCAGCCACCCTGGAAATAGTTCTAGTTTTGACCTGGAAGGAATTTTAAGTACATTAGAGTTTTGATCTGAAGGGATAGCAACCCTTTTATTAATATCAAATTATGAGAAAACACAGGTAACAGCAACCTTTATAGGTTTTATTAGGAATCAAATCCTTATGATGCTATCCATCCACTTTTTTGAATAGTGTTGACATGCACAAAAAACAACAAAAAGACATTTTGTACTGTTGGGGATTTTATATGGAAAAATTGTAAAACATACAAAACCTGGTCATAACCATAATGTCTTGTTCCATTTCTTTTTAAAGAGTAAAAAGAACAAAATAACACTGACACAATGTACAACTTATAATGACAAAGAAAATAGTAACATATCTACTGACAACCCCCCACCTCCCCGTCTGAAAATATACAGTAAACAAAAAGATGATACTATAGAATACATTACTGATATACCCAATGAATCTATCCATATATTATAGTATGTTGTATATTCACCAAAGTTTAATGAGTATACATACAACAAACATAATGGTACACCATAGATACTGTCTGGGTGTAATGGTAACATTGACACACTACTGGTACACCATAGATACACCCTGGGTGTAATGGTAACATTGACACACTGCTGGTACACCATAGATACAGTCTGGGTGTAATGGTAACATTGACACACTACTGGTACACCAGATACTGCCTGGGTGTAATGGTAACATTGACACAATGCTGGTACACCATAGAAACAGCCTGGGTGTAATGGTAACATTGACACACTAATGGTACACCATAGATGCAGCCTGGGTGTAATGGTAACATTGACACACTAATGGTTCACCATAGATGCAGCCTGGGTGTAATGGTAACATTGTTACACTAATGGTACACCATAGATACAGCATGGGTGTAATGGTAACATTGACACACTACTGGTACACCATAGATACAGCCTGGGTGTAATGGTAACATTGACACATTAATGGTACACCATAGATACTGCCTGGGTGTAATGGTAACATTGACACATTGCTGGTACACCATAGATACAGCTTGGGTGTAATGGTAACATTGACACATTAATGGTACACCATAGATACAGCCTGGGTGTAATGGTAACATTGACACACTACTGGTACACCAGAGATACAGCCTGGGTGTAATGGTAACATTGACACACTGCTGGTACACCATAGATACAGCATGGGTGTAATGGTAACATTGACACACTACTGGTACACCATAGATACAGCCTGGGTGTAATGGTAACATTGACACATTAATGGTACACCATAGATACTACCTGGGTGTAATGGTAACATTGACACACTACTGGTACACCATAGATACAGCCTGGGTGTAATGGTAACATTGACACATTAATGGTAAACCATAGATACAGCCTGGGTGTAATGGAAACATTGACACACTAATGGTACACCATAGATAGAGACTGTGTGTAATGGTAACATTGACACATTAATGGTACACCATAGATACTACCTGGGTGTAATGGTAACATTGACACACTGCTGGTACACCATAGATACAGCATGGGTGTAATGGTAACATTGACACACTACTGGTACACCATAGATACAGCCTGGGTGTAATGGTAACATTGACACATTAATGGTACACCATAGATACAGCCTGGGTGTAATGGTAACATTGACACACTAATGGTACACCATAGATAGAGACTGTGTGTAATGGTAACATTGACACATTAATGGTACACCACAGATACTACCTGGGTGTAATGGTAACATTGACACACTGCTGGTACACCATAGATACAGCATGGGTGTAATGGTAACATTGACACACTACTGGTACACCATAGATACAGCCTGGGTGTAATGGTAACATTGACACATTAATGGTACACCATAGATACAGCCTGGGTGTAATGGTAACATTGACACACTAATGGTACACCATAGATAGAGACTGTGTGTAATGGTAACATTGACACATTAATGGTACAACATAGATACACCCTGGGTGTAATGATGCGATTGATAAACTGCTGGTTTAAATCCTGTGAAAACACCTTGGTTACCTGGTAATATTCTGTAAAAAATCATTCATATGGATAATCCATGGATACAAAATGACATGGATACATCATCGACACCTTAGCAACCATAGAATACCATAGATACGCAGGATATATCATAGATACAAAGATAGAATATTGAAGGCTAATACAGGGGAAATGTAACCATGTCTTAATAGTGTATTTAGCTATAATAAACAAATTAGAAGTGAAAACACATCAATTGTTTTCATTACGTCAACATATGAAATTTGTATGTTAATGTTGCAGATTTTTTTTTAACAATTAGACAAGTTTAAGTCAGTGCCTTATCTGATGTGGAATGATAAATTAATTAAACAATGTAAAATAAAAAATGAAACCTCTAAAATCAGGACAGTTATCTAAAATTAGAACGGCCCAGTAATTACATCAGTGCACACACATAAAAACCATTCACATTAAAGTCATTGGTTAGTATTCGTATAATTACTGGCACTTACCAGTTAGAAACTGGATTTCTTTGAATCACATTCCATGTAAACACTAAAGGTTCATGGTATTTTGAACACAAAGCAAATGTACTGCTAAAGGCAATACAAAACATTTGGAATTCTTCTCTGTAACAACTAATCTACAAGTAAACTAATGGTAGTCAGAAGATCACAAATGAATCATGATTTGTTGATTTTCAGAAACTACTTGAGGCATTTTTCTATCTAGCTTGTTCACAATATCAAATTTTTGTTGACTATGTCAGAAAGTATTTGCAGCATCAACTTCAGCAGCACAAGAACCTATGATTCATGAATTATTTTTTGCTTTGTTTTGAATAGTGAAAACATAAAAATCAAAGTATCCCTTAACACATGTACTGGTAATCTTCTACTGACACATTTACAGCTAACCTTCTACTGACACATGGACAGCTAACCTTCTACTGACACATGTACAGCTAACCTTCTACTGACACATGTACAGCTAACTTTCACATTTAACCTTCTACTGACACATGGACAGCTAACCTTCTACTGACATATGTACAGCTAACCTTCTACTGACACATGTACAGCTAACCTTCTACTGACACATGTGCAGCTAACCTTCTACTGACACATGTGCAGCTAACCTTCTACTGACACATGTATAGCTAACCTTCTACTGACACATGTACAGCTAACCTTCTACTGACACATGTACAGCTAACCTTCTACTGACATGTGCAGCTAACGTTCTACTGACATGTACAGATAACTCTCTACTGCCATGTACAGATAACTCTCTAATGCCATGTACAGCAAACCTTCTACTGCCATGTACAGATAACTCTCTAATGCCATGTACAGCAAACCTTCTACTGCCATGTACAGATAACCCCATACTGCCATGTACAGAAAACCTCCTCTGCTATGTACAAATAACCCCTAAAGATATGTGCAGATAGCCCTTCACTGACACAAGCTCAGATAACCCTCTACTGATACATGTACAAGTAACCCTCTATACACATCCATTAGTACCATTATACAGACATATACTGGTAACCCAATATGGACAAGTAGAGATAACCCTTCACTGACAGGTAACCTGATCATGACATCTATAAGTAACCCATAGACTCATTTATAAAGATAACCCTATATTGTAAAACCTCTTTATGTT